TTAAAAAGACATAGGGTAGCAGATTGCATATAAAAAAAGACTCAACAATATGCTATCTCCAAGAGACTCATCTCACAGGAAAAGACATCCACTGACTGAAGGTGAAGGTTTGGGAAAAAAGCATATTACTCACATGAACTGCATCATCAAGCAGGGGTTTCCACTGTCATATCAAATAGAGTATACTTCAAGCTAAAGTTATTCAAAAGGAATAAAAAAGAACACTACATACTTCTCAAAGAAATCATACACTAACAAGACTTGACAATTATAAATATATGTGCCGCAAACAATGGAGCATCTATGTTCATCAATTAAAATCTTCTCAAGTTCAAGAGTCAAACAGATCACAACAATAATTTGGGGTGACTTTAACACACCTCTTTCATCACTAGGTAAATCTTCCAGATAAAAGCTGAACAAAGAATGTATAGAAGTCAATAATATAATAATCAATAACTTAGATTTAACTGACATATGTAGAATATTTCATCCTTCAACAAGTGAGAACACTTTCTTCTCAGTAGAACATGGGTCCTTCTCTAAAATAGACCATATATTATGCTACAAAGCAACTCTTAGCAAATGTAAGAAAGTAGAGATACTACCTTGCCTTCTATTAGATCATAATGTGATGAAATTATAAATCAATCATAAAATAAGAAATAAAATTTACTACAACACTTGGAGATTAATAATGTGCTACTGAATGAACAATGGGTTGAAAACACATGAGCTAAGAGACTAAAAAAAAATTAGAGATGAATGAGAACACAGATACAACATATTAAAATCTTTGAGACACAATGTAAGCAGTTCTAAGAGGAAATTTCATTGCATGGTGTTCATTCCTTGAAAGAAGAAAAAGTCAACAAATAAATGACTTAAAATTGCATTGCAAAGCTCTAGGAAAAGAAGAACAAATCAGCATTAAAAGCAGTAGAAGACTGGAAATAATTAAAATCATAGCTGAATCAATGATACTGAAACAAGAGAAACAATTCAATAAAATGATAGAACAAAAGTTGTTTATTTTTTAAAAATTTTTAAATTGATTTTATTGCTTTTTAAATACATGATAACAGTTCTTTCTCTGAAAAACAATAAATAAAATTCACAGACCCTTAGCCATGCTAACAAAGAGAAAGAGAGAGAAAACTCAAATTGCTAACATACATGAGAAAAAGGAAATATCACAACAGACACTACAAAAATACACAATATAATTATAAATGATTTGAAAACTTGTAGTATAATAAAAAAAACAAGAGCACAGACAAATTTTAGAGTCACATGATTTGCTCACATTGAATTAGCATGATATACACAATTTAAACAGATCAATTTTAAGTGATGAAATAGAAGACAACATCAAAAGTCTACCAACCAAGAAAAACCTAGGACTGATGGATACACAGCCAAGTTCTACAACACCTTTAAAGAAGAACTAATACCAATACTCTTCAATTTATTTCAGGAAATAGAAAAAGAGGCAGCACTTCCAAACTAATCCTATGAGGCCAATATCACCCTGATTTCAAAACCAGGCAAAGACACATCAAAAAAAGAAAACTTCAGGCCAATACCTCTAAAGAACATAGATGAAAAAATTCTCAATATGATACTTGCAAATCAAATACAAAACATAACAAAAAGATCATGCACCAAGATCAAGTGGGATTTATCCCAGGGATGCAAGGTTGTTTCAACATAGGGAAATAAATAAATGTGATTGATGACATCAATAGAATTAAGGATAAGAATCATAAGATCATCTCAATAGACTTAGAAAAAGCATTTCACAA